TTCCGTACTGACATATTATGTAACTGACTTTCATCATAACTAACATATCGAAAAAATTGATTGCACGCTTTGCATGAAAATCTTAACACTACTTTAAGAATAAACGAAAACAAAACAAAATATAATTTTCACTAAAACAATATCAGACTAACAAATGTGAAAGAAAATAATTTCACAATTATTTAAGCAATTTTCATACAGGTAACCTCATGCAGTTATTTATCTTACTTTTTCTAAGCATTTTTAGAATGTATTTTTAAAAAAATTATCAGTAAAACTTTATAAAAAATTATCAGTAAAATTTTATAAAAAAATCTGATGTGTGCACCACATGACTTCGTTGTACGAAATATTAAATACGTATTTTTTCCTGTATTTTATTTAAACTTGAATTGAATTAAATCTACTTCGTCGACGGGGCATAAACCACAAGAGTATAAATGCACTGTTTAAAATTCACTATATTTATTTATTATTATTATTACTTAAGAAACTCTGGCGATTGACTTAACAGCGTTATATCTCATTCTTTTTATAACTCAGAATGCTAAAAAATTATATCATCTGAAAAATTGCCGAATCTTTGCCATACGTTCTATTCAAATACTATAATAAACTTAAAAGGTTGTATAAAAGAAATTAAGCAAATAAAAAAGAAACAGTTTTTCACAGACGATTCAACGCGGCTTATCTAATGCGCATGCGCTACTCGCGCGCTTAGTAATTACTCAATATCGATCAATAATTACGTACTTCTGCTACAGAATAATCGTCGGCTCATCGCATGGCAATATCCATACATTTGTTAATGATCTAGTGAGATATTTTAGAATAATTTTTGAAATTCCGTCAGTAATTCAGGCCGATAGCCCCAGTGTGTTTTGCTATAATAGTACAACTAATCCTAAACCAACCGAAAAATTTAAGAAATTTCAGTGTTGCTTAAATGACTTCTGTCAAACTTAATTGAATATTTTAACTATTGTCATTATGGCTTCAACGAAACATATAAGAAAATTTCAAACTTATTATTAAACTAAACAGGATAAAGAAACTTTTGAAACTAATGCTATGTTAACATCTAAAAGATTTCTAAAAGTATATGTCACTTATCAAGAAATAATCATTATTTTGTGGTGGTGTAAAGCATTACATTTTTTTTAGCATATGAAATGTTGATAAACCTCGAAGAAGGAGGAAATTCTGAACTTTCATGCTCCAGTGATTACGATGTTAAAAGCTTTTGAAGTGTGAAGGTCTGCTGGTTGCACACAAATTCTTTCATTTTCTATATCATTCTCCTGATTAAAAGCTAGTTTTATTAGACCGGCTGATAATAAATCTGTTAAGAATAGCTTCATATGTTCCTAAAAATTAAATTATCTGATCTGTAGTTCATGAATTTTATTGTTATGAAACAAAATGTCTGAGGCTAATTTGAGTGTCTTTTTATTTAATTGAAACAGCTATAACTTAATGGATTTCAGTTTGAAGAAATGCCTTTTATGTAAAAGCAAAAGTTAGTCGAGTAAAAGAGAGTGACAGCTGCTGCTGTAACTACTTAAGATAACTTATGGGCAATATGTTGCACATTAATTGATCTTAATAATTAGGCAATAACTATTATACCTGACTATACATGAGTATACTCAATACATGAATATTGAACAGACAATGGAAAATTTTGATAACTCAAAGAGAAGTGCTTTCCAAATATTTGGTTTTCCTCAATTTCTATGCCAAAATTATATTTAAATTTTGAATGATTTACTAAAAGAGAAATAGCAAGAAATATTGTAAAATAAAATTAAAAAACAAATACTGTTTCTAAAAATTTCAGTTTACGACTTTTGACCAGCGAATTTTGTAATAAAAATAGTTTTCCTGCTTAAACTAAATTGAAGTATTTGCATTTATCGATTCCGTGGAGGTCAGCTAAGATGCCCGCCTGCGTACTTTAAAATTTTTATTTTAAACTGGCAGTGGATACATAATTTAACAACCTCTAAATGACAGCAAATGTATGAAATGAAGTACCATTGAAATTTATGTGCCTCGTAAATATAAGTAATGAGTATTTTGGAGAAAGTTGGTTGTAATGAATTATACTGTGTAGAGACATTAGATATTTTTTTGGAAGCAGGAAAGATGAAAAATGAAACATGAGCAAAGCCTTCGCCAAGAATCGAACCACGGATCTCTGGAATATGCGCCCAGCGTGCAGACCACCACACCACGAAGGCGGGAGAAATACTTTATATACTCCCTCTTTTAAAGGGCGATTGGTGTTTTTAGGCGACCCAATCGCCAAATCCTGGGTGTGAAAAACCATCATCCACATCCCTCTTAGTTCGGGGGCCACTGTAGAGACATTAGAAAATTTTTTGAAGCAGCAAAGATGAAAAATGAGCAACGCCTTTGCCGGGAATCGAACCACGGACCTCTGAAAGACACGCCCAGCGTGCAAACCACCACACCACGAAGGCCTGCTAAGCAGGCCTGAGAAATACTTTATTACTGTTTTTTTTTTCCCTCCAAAAATTAATGTACATTTCTAAGATGTTGATAATTTAAACATTCAATGATGTGTTTTGTAAATTCATAAGACCAGCGCATACAGAGGTGATTAGTTTTAATTTGATTTTCAAAAGCTTATACAAACGGTTGAAAGTAATAAAAATATGCCTTAACAGATGACTGCACTAAATTTTTGAATTTGGTTTATTTTTCAGTTTGAAATGCAAAGCACAATCATATAAAAACTGAAAACAATTTAAAACGTGTCCGTGTCAGTCCAGAGCAGGAAGGCCATCATCCTCAATAATTCTACTAAATTTGTAACATCCTACTACTGCAAGCAAAGATTGTAGCTTGATTTTCAAATTTCTGTACTAAGTAGTTTATATTTACTTAACTCTACTTTAGATTAAAATCAGTTACAGGATAAAAATTAAATTAAAAAAAATAGTAAATATGCAAGTAATGTATTAATAAAAATAGTCTATTCAGTGTTTATTCCATAAATACATAGAGGTTAATGTACTATTGTGTATAATTAATAAATTGTAAAACTTATTAAACTTAATATTTTGTATAGAGTTTTCGCTGTATTAGTTGCAATTACATTTGCTTGACATCTAAAATACGGCTATAAGGTATTTCTCCCACTTCTGTAGCGTGCCTTCGTGGTGTAACGGTAGCACGCTGGGCCGGTATTCCAGAGGTCTGTGGTTTGATTCCCGGCGAAGGCGGTTGCATAATTTTCATCTTTTCTGCTTCCAATTAACCTAATGCCTCTACACGGTAGCTAGACTCTTGTTACCTATTCGGAAAAAAGACAAATTAAGAACTTTGCGGCGAATATGGATAATAGAAATTGTAGTATACCTGATAGTAAAAGTTAAAATTTTAAATTAATGGCCTTGAAATGGTTAAAATGGAAATTACAAAGCAGCTGTGGTATGTAATTTTCTGATTTATATTATATGATACCGCAATCTAGCTGCAATTAACTAGACTTTCAGAAAATATTCAGTGGACCATTGTTTATACGTTTCTCATTTATACGCCTTTTACGTTTATACGTTGTGTCATCTTTGTCCCTATTTAGGCTTGTTTATTTTAACAATAAAGTATTTCTTTGATAACGCTGCTTTTGCTTGACTTACTGCATTGAGTTTGCACTTCACAGTTCCACCATTCAATTTTCTCCTCAGAAATGAAGATAGCAGAAGGAAACAAAGGCATGAGACATAGTAGCTTCGTACAGGAAAGAGTAGAAAAACAGCTATGAGTAGAGGAAATACTTGGAAGGTTGGGCTTGGTTATTTGATTATTACAAAGCAGGCAAGGGTTTTCTGCCTATGAGAAGTGGTGCCTTCGTGGAGAATTTTCTAAGACGAACTGGGTCGTATACACGTTACACATGGGAAAAACCGGGAATGTTTTCCCTTCTAAATAGGATGCTAGGTTAAGTATAAATAACTGATACAAAATATCACGAAAGCGAAAGGCACTCTTGGTAAAAGATAAAATTCAAATCTTAAAAGAATGTGATGACAATACTGGTTTGAAGAATGTTGAGTTACCAAAAAAAAAAAAAAAAAAAAAAAAAAAAAAAAAAAAAAAAACCTGGGTATTCCTGTAACAAAACTTAAAACGTCTAAAACTGAAGAACAGAAATTTGCGAACAGTGTTCAAAGCAATTACGTGTTCAAAGTGGAAAGTGCCTGAGATACAAGCCATTTTGAAAAATTTTTGCATTCAGTATAACGCATTCAATATTACACTGAATGATCTCATGTTAATTGAGAAGTCAAAAGAAATAGTATTTAGATTGAATGTGAAGGAAGCTTGCTTTTCAACTGGATTGCTGGCATAAGTTTAAATTACGGCATGGAATCTTATATCTGGTTGTAACTTCCGCCCAAAAACGTTTTTTAGTAAAGTTAGAAAAAAGCATGAAAGCAGTACCTTTAGTGCGGGTAGTAATCACCACCCCTAAGCTATGATTTCCTTCCAACGTTTTAGTAGTTTTAGAAAAGCCGTCGGCGCAGAAATTTGGGTGGCTGCGAATTCAAAAACCGATTAACCTAATTTCGGACGTCCTCTGCAGAATGGAAGATAGCACCAGCAAGATGTAGCTGCAGTTGTGAAAAAATGAAGAAGTCCGAAGGAGCGAATGTCGAAGTTACATGGTGGGTGTCGCAAATGATGCCATTCCAGTCCGTACAGATCCAGCCGCTGCATGCAGTCACATGTGGTCTTGCATTATCTTGATGGAACATGACCTTTTTGAGCCGGAACTCGGATGTTTTTCCTTGATAGTAGCGTACACACGCACTAGCATCTCATTGTACACATTACTATTGAGGGGTTTTAACTTTTTCTAGATACCTTTTGTGTCGCGAGTCAAATTGCGCTTTGAGATGCTGCCGATATGCTTTCCGGACACAGACCAATTCCCTTTTCTACCTGTGTTGTTGACGTAAATCCACTTTTCATTGCAAGTGACGATCCGATTCAGAAGTTTTCTTTGCGGGCAGATTAGTGCAGGCCCGAACACGTCTGTCCTTATCTGCTTGAGCAAGCTCTTGCGGCTTCCAGCGATTAAACTTGTACGTTAAGTTTATGCCATGCACAGTGCAACGAATGGACATGGTCCTAACGTCTATCTCCTTAGCAAGCTCTCGAGCGGTTGCACACTGATCTTCCTTAAGTTCTCTCAGGCGAGCCTCATCAACATCAACAGGTCGGCCAGAGCGCTCTGCTTCTTGAATGTCACAGTCCTTGCATCTGAACTTTCGGTACCAAACATTCATAATGTCATATGATACAACATTAGTACCCAAAACTGTACACCTAATAAGTGACATTGGGTGGTTCTAATCTGCTAGCATGACAGTTACATTTCAGACACCTTGTACTTGATGATAACGATACGTTTTTGCAAATTTCACAACACAGTGTTCTAAAGCAAGTCTCTTTCTTTCAAAAGCCAAAAATCGATTGACAAAATATGATTAAAGACGCCAACGCGAACTGTTTGCGCAGACGATATTTGCGGTGGCGGGAAATTTTCGTTAAAACCCGATATCCTACAATAAAGGAAAACTCAAAAAAGCTTTCCTGTTGAAGTGCGGATTAAACTTTTATCCTATATGTGGCTATTAAGTAAATCACTTTTATCTTGACTCTGGCGATTCTAATAGCTAAAGAGAAAAAACGTGCAAAGAGAAGTCCTATTCTTTGTAATGATCTGTTGTATATATTTGATTTTATTATTGTAAATAGTTATTTTTGTATCCCTATATTTCTTTAAATTTTTTTATGTACATGATATAATGCCATTTACTGATATTTGTTTTGTAATGAGTCAAAAATTTTTATTTCGTCCCCAAAATGTTAAATATTTCATACAGGCTACTTGCTCAGTATTTGTGTTTAAATTCTTAATGCAAAGGTCGTCTGTAAGTGGGTGAATTTTAATGACTAGCCTAATGCACAAAATGCACTTCGATTATTTTTCAACTGTATTCCATATCCATAATAATGTGCAAAGGACTGATGACGACAGTTGCTGACAATTACATAATCGTTATATGAATTAGAAGTAACTTCAAATAAACTTTTTGTCAATGTTCATTTTTGTATTCATACATTTATATATACAAACACCTAATATTTACCTACACATAGCGAGAGAGATGCGATGGTTTAGAAATTGTTGATGTATATTTAATACTATTAATGTAATGAATGAGCTTTTTATTAATAAATGTATATACAAATTTTTTCATCATTCATAATAATAAATCCATAAATTTCCATTGTTTCAATATGTGGCATTTATAATAAAAATATAGTTTTAATGTGTTTATAATATAAAATGCTTTTCATTAATAACATGAAGATAATAGCGTACAAATTTAATATGTATCCTCATTATGAAATAATCTATGTTTTAATAAATATACATAATCGCTGATTTTAACATAATCGCTGCTTATGCAATTTCAATTTAAAAGTAATAAAAGTAATTAGTAGAAAAGCAAAGACGCGCATATACAAACACATTTTAAAATATTATTCCCCTTAATAAAAAAAAAAATCCATTATATAACAGTAACATTCTTTTCACACTATCAGCCCGAAATACGACAAATTTGGCGACGAATAATTTGTAAAAAAATCGTCAGAAATAGCACGTCATAAAATAATGTCTACTCCACGATTTATTCCACGATTATAAACGAAATTTCCACGATTATAAATTTAATGAATATATAAACATTTAAAAAATAACTTAGGCAGTTATACCACAACAAAACAGCAATATATATATATACGGCTTTTTTCCGCATTTCTTCAATTAAATCGGCATCTTTTTCCACCGTCCATGGTTTCACAACGAGAGCCATCGCCATATTGAAAATTACCCGTGATCCTTCAGAAGCAGAACTTTCGTCTGATTGGTTGAACGTACGCGGAACACGTCTCCAGACGGAACATTTTCAGAAAAGTTTCAAAATGTTTCGCCTAGCCGGACCATGTTTCGCCTACCTAGACGAAACATTTCTCGGAAGCCTCCCGCTTTTCTTTGGCTGTGCTACTAGAATCTCGTTTCTCGGAAATGTCCCGCCTAGCCGCGCGCGTCTATAGAAGTGATAAGGCCTTAAGGTCTTCGATATCGTCGTAATTGCATCTTTAGTTGCTTCTTTATGGAATTAAAATAGCAGCAACAAAAAAAGATAAATTTTCTGCTTCTGTTACAGGTTTTATACTTTGCGAATTGCGCAGTAAAAATGCACGCTATGATCGCAATTCCTGTTCATTTGCCTTGAAACTTTGATCATTTGAATGTTCGATCAAGAGGTTTTAGAGATGAAATTTCGTCACGATCGCAAAAGTCCTTCTTGGTACTTTGATTTTTTTGCAAACGAGTGTATTAATATTAATTAAATATTTATTTAAAACTTGAAATTAAAGTTTTTAAACTACAAAAATAAAATTGTGTATTATCAGTAGTAGGTTGGTACTATCAAAAGTGTACAGCTATATATGTTTTACATCATAATTTAAAATTTCTTATATACGTGTTTCTCATTTATACGTCGTTTGTGAATGGTCTTTTAAAAGACGTATAAACGCTGTTCCACTGTATCTATATATTAATGCTTGTAATAACAGTTTTAAGAGGCTGCTGTAAGCCCTGTCTAAATATAGACATTCTGCGGGAAACTAGAAACATATATGGAAAGATTTGAAAACATACATGGGTTAGAACTTAAACAATGATAAATCCGTTATATATTGCCATGAAACAGAACCAGTGCTTCTCACTTCTGTCATATATTACCGTATATACCCGCGTATAAGTCGAGATATTTTGGACAAAAAAAAAAAGACTTCAAAGTGGGGATACGCGGGGCCATAAAAAATTAAAAGAATCGGAAGTTCAAAAATTTCTTTACATAATGCAGTTGTTTTCTTCCCGCACTCAAATTGAACGACTTATCAAATAAGTCACTTACTTGAAGTAATTTCATGACTTAAATTATGTGACGAACTAATCACAGAGTTTCATACTTTAACTAGAGTAAGTTTCGATTAAACCAAAGAATTTACGCCTGTTCGATTTAACAGGCGTACACGTCAAAATTTAAAAAAATAGCCCACGCAATAACTAAACAGTTTTGAATATTTCTTTTAACTTTTAAAAAGAGGAAAATGCAGATAGATTTTACGTAACGCGAATCTTTTCCGGAACAAATTCTAGGTTAAGGTTACTATTTTTTCCCAATACCAGATCAACTTCCGTCGAAACATTTACTAGAAGGCAACATTAAAAAGCCCGATATTACATTAATTGCTCAGTGGGTTAAGGATGCTTACGAAATACCCTCTGAAATGATTATAAAATGATTTAAAAAATGTTGTATTAGCAACGAAGTAGACGACACGGAAGATGATGCTGTTTTTGAAAGTGAAAATGACGACGAAGGCTCTAGTAGTGATTGTAACAATACAGAGTTCGAGACTGAAAATATGTATGAGGACGAGCCAATGACGACAGAAGAGTTCTATGAAATATTTGGCGAATCTGACCATGAATCGGACGTTGAAGGATTTTGATTTTGTTTATTTACCAAGGTATTTTTTATCATATATTTACTTTTTTTTCAGATGATTCTGAATAAATGTAGTACTTAAAATTTTTTTTCGAAGTTTCTCGATCGATTTCGGAAGTGGGGGGCCGACTTATACGCGGGTTTCTTATTTTCTACGAATTTTCTATGTCGAAGTAGGAGGGGGGTCGACTTATACGCGGTATCGACTTATACGCGGTTATATACGGTAGTTCCATTTCTAACCAACCTTGCAGCAAACAAACTCTGTTTTCCAAAGCTATGCGCATGTTCCGAGGTCAGATGAACAGCGTGTTCTACGAATCAGTCATGTAAAATTATGTACTACAATGTTCTTGAGAGATTTGCAAAAAATTTAGAAATGGTTACAATAAGATTTTGCGCAGATCCACTTTAAAGAGGTACAATTACTAAACAGAGGCTTACTTATGCTCTGTTATATTCTATATGAGAAATGGGATAGATCAAAGGTTTCCAGCTCAATGCCCGCTGGCACTCGCCGCTGTGCGATCACAATAAAAATGTTTTACCTTTCAGTAAAATTCTATGCGAAATTTTTCTCATTTTTTATGAAATAGAAGTTGCGTCCAGCACAGATAGCAGTACAAAGTGAAATGCAACCGATCTCTTTTTTTTTTTTTGTGGGCATGTAGTATTAATTCTGTTCAACTATTAATTCACATTGAAAGAGTAAAGGTGCCCTTCGTACAATAGATATTCTAGAATGTGCTTTTAGGGACGAAAAGGTTGGGAGCCCCTGGGCTAGATCATACCAGCCGAAAGAGAAATGCCAGTCAAACGAATAGCATCAGTTTCCCCTCCTCCCCCCACGAAAATTAAATCTTAGCAGTGTGAAGGATGCGGGGATTCTCACGTACAGTTGCAACGGCGCTATCCTATGGTACCTCAAGGATATATTGTTAACGTTCGGCATTACCGTTCATGCTTTGAACATAATCTGCAACTAGCGTAGCAAAGGTTTAAGCGACATTTTATGCAAAATAATACACGGATGCTGGTAGCTCAACGTAAGGTAGATTTGTTTTCTCCGTGGACCCAAGAGCCGAATTCACCCTACTCCCCGGAATTATGAAGATGAAGAAGCCACATAAAGACATTAATTTACTAATTGTATCAGAATATCGTTGGGAAACAGACTGTTCCATTTGAATCATCAACCGAACAGGCGTTGCTACAAGCATACTATGGCGCCCATATCGTTGGCAATGAGTTGCACACAATAAAGAAAACATCAGTGAAATATAATAAAAGAATCACACAGGTATATCTTCTAATGTCAGATCTAAATAGATAATTGCCACCAAACATTTCACTCTTCATAATGAAAGTCATAAACTAGGTATAAAAACCACAAGAACGTATATATTTACACAATAATAAAACAATTATAAAAGTAGTAAAATGTTTTATGATATCAAAGTGTAAGATACAATGCATAAAAGCAATGTAACAAATGAATATGAAAAAATTTTCGCAAGATATTCAAGGAAAATATGATTAAATTCAATATTTCGTCGTTAGTAGCATAATCGGAACCTAAAAAAAAAATTTTTTTTTTTTTTGTTTTTTTTTTTTTGTTTTCTTCAAAATTTAGTCGCTCTTGAAAGTTTAATCGCATGCATAGCTTTAAAGGTAATGTTTAACTAGATTCTATTTCCTTGACCAATTTTTTTTTCTATTATTCATGGCCACAGTTTTTACGAAATGAAATTCAAGATATGTAATCTTAGAAATGGCTCATACATCAACGAGGAAATATGAGAAATTCCCTTAAACGTGCTTGAGTTAAATAACGTGAAATTTTTCCTTAATTATTAATTTTATATTAATATCAACCGGCTCCATGATTCATTTTCTTAGATACTTAGCATTTTTCTATAAAGTTAGTCAATGGTTCTCCTTTTTTAAAAAATATAATGTGCTAAAACTGTTGTGATTTTATTTAAAATAACCAGTACTTTTGATTTGCTAGGATTTTGCTCTTGACTTGTTTATTCCGTTGTTTACATCAGCTAAACGAAATGGCTTACCCGCCTTTGAAAATGGAAGGTTTAACACCTGAAATGGAAAATGTAGCAGAAAGAGAACTTGGTGAAACCCCTCAAGTAAGGAAGGATTCCTTGGAAAAAATTAAAGAACTCATAGAAAGTAAGTGTTCAAATTTTAGATTTTCTAGTTTTGTGGCATTAGCAAATTGTAACGTTTTTGTTGTGAGTATGTACAAAATAGTGTATTGGGGATTTAATTTGCAAATACTTGTACAATCTGTGAAATTGTCTTTGGCTTAAAATCTGAAAATAATAATTTAGATATTAGAAGGTTTTCAGATGCGAATTTTCCATTTTGCATTCTAATTAAAGGTACTAGTATTTTAACTAACTGCATTTTAATTTTGCTTAATTTTTAAGATAAATGGAATAAACGAGTATTGTTCCTGAAAAGAATGTTTGTGAATATGATTCGGAGCTTGAAATTTAATTATAAGAGGAATCGCATGTTAGGAGATCAGGTAATTTGACCGCAGTCTCGTGTTTTCATCGTTTCAAAAGTAGTGATGCAGTTTTGAATGGGAAAAAAGTTTGAAGTACAATGAAATGAACAAAACCTTCCCAAATGTGGGCGATTATTGGGGGTTACATGAAAATATAAATATATTTTTTTTTTTTATTTCTGCTTTATATTTAGGAAAGTTTGTTCTTAGGATGTCGATTCAAAAGTTTTGTATGGTAAAATTGAACACTTCTCTCAGACAAGAAACTCGACATTATTTGACTTCCTGCCCCCTCCCACTATTTATAATTGCTGCTTGGTTTTAGCAAAAGTAAACTGAAATCGAAAGCTGATATAATTAATGTCTTTACAAATATAATGGCCACCCAACCGGTATAGCGATTAGCATCTCTGACTGCCGTGCCGAACGACCTGGCTTCGAATCCCGGAGAAGGCATGGGTGTTTGTAAATGTAGAGTGTCCGTGCGACATGGGGGGCATTCTAAATATGCGGCGAGCCCAAAATCCTTTCGAGAGGTTCGTGGTAAGGGAACAGGGGTGCTAGACCCTCGGCCCTGTACCTCCCGGGGTGCTCTCCATCAAAATTGGAGGTGGAACTGAGCTAAACTGCCCTATCATCTGTAAGGTACTCATGGCTCTTGCCAATGACAGGTCTAAACTTGCGCTCCTTGCCACTAGGAATTTCGAGGGCTGATTATAGGTCAGACAAGTAAGCATTAGCAGCAACAACAGTAACGAATATAATACAAAAAAGCGTTACATTTGAATAAAGAATAAAGCAATAATTCGGGAAACTGATTCAGTGATTTTTTTAGTCTTATTGAAAGAATAAAATTAATGAAGCGCTGTCTCCAAAGAAATTGCTTTCCGAGAAAGCAAAATTAATTTAAAATAAGCGGTCAACGTTTGTAGTGTTATGCATAAAGCTAAAAATATGTAATAATATGTTCTCAATTAAACAATTTTAAAAGATTTATTAATTTAATCTCTTGATTCATTTTTAATAATCAAAGGGTAATAGAAATGTACCGCGTTTGCAACTGCTTTCTGTTAGTTCTATAGGAATATAGCCAGACTGGAAAGGCCTAAGATAGTATGGAACGGAATATGGATTTATAAATGAGTAATTTATTGTCAGATGATAGAACGGTATTTCGAACATTCAAAGGGGTAGAGTTTACTTTATGTGAAAGAAACGTTTGGATGATAGATGTAATATGCGAAGTCTATGTGAGAGAATTAGGGGGGGATCATCCCAAGGTAACGGATGTGCCTAGCCCAGGGCAGAGTAACTCTATAAAACTGAGGATTTCCGTTGATTCTTATAAAATAGCAACTATTTTCTCTACTTTCATTTGAATTCCATTTTTTCAGCCAGTACTCCAGTACTTGTATGTGATTTTGTAAATGTTGTATGACTAGCCTACACTTTCAGCAAGAATCGCTGTGTCATTAGAGTGCATTGCTAGTGTTGTGTTGATTATACGTGGGATGTCGTTCGTATAAATACTGAATAATGTGGGCCACAAAAAGGGCAGTTGCGGTATGCTGGCTGCAAAAGCACGGCGGGTTGAGAATGTATCTGAGGTATGAACAACAAAAAGACTACCTGTCAGACAGGATGTAATTATGTGTGTGATGTAATCTGAGAAACCCAGGGAGTTATTTTTTAGAACACAGCGTCCACCCAGACACGATAGAAAGCGTTGACTATATTCGATGAACAGACCATCTGTAATCCTTGAAGGCTTTCCGTGATGAGTTCCAGAGCCCTGTAGATCACGTTGAAAATCAAAAGGTTTCTTCTAAATACAAATTCTATCGGAATACTAATACTGTATTCTTCCAGATGTTTTTGGATTCTTTTTAAAAGCACAACCTCCAACAGCTCACTAAGGCATGCAGCTTACTAAACGGTTTGTAAGACTCCGGAACTATGGCGGGATTTTTCGGGTTTAAAATAGTCTCTTATGGCTATTTGGTTGTCTTCCAGGTCACTGGGTAATAGTGTCACCTGAGCGCGATGTTAAAGATCTTAATTAATTTCAAAACGAGTTTAACAGGCATAGCCAGTATATCTTACTATGCTGTTCACGTCTGGGCTTTCGTTGGGCTTGATTTTTTTTATTATAGCCAAAAATATCTGACGGCCGAGTTGGATCAACGTTATTTGGTGTGGATTTGTTGTATAACTGGAGTGAAAGTCAGAGACCATGTGTTCTGCTGTTTATCCTGAATGTTGTTTGTGCAAAATTGAGATTCCAGATGCTATGCGTTTTTAGTTCAGGCGACACTGTAGAGACATTAGCTTTAATTTTTGAAGCAGGAGATGGGAAAAATGAGCAATGCCCTTCCCGGGACTCGAACCACGGACCTCTGGAATACACGTCGAGTGTGCTGACCACTACACTACGAAACCTTATAACTTCACTGACGCCAAAGATTTAAAAGTGTGCGAGGTTCCGACTACTTGGTATCTTTTTGTTCTTAATGAAGATTACGGATCCGCTTCGCGTGGTACACAGATATCTAGTTATATTTATGTAACAGTTGTTGGACAGAATCTTTTTCACAATATTAAAAACTGGTGTATTCCTGAGGTGGACTTTAAATCATAAGATGACTTTATTAAAACCCTTCCATTCCATATCTTCGAAATATTTTAAGATGTGCCCCGAAAAGTGTTCTTTTTAACATTAAAAGAAAAAGCTGGAACCATTTTCAAAGTTTCTGCTAAAATTATAAGGTAAAATTACATAACTCTTTGCAAAATTGTAGTTCGCCAGATATGTTAGGTAACATTGTTGTAAAACTGCACAATTTAATTATTTCTGCTGTAGAACACTCCATTCCATTGAAGAAATCTCGTTTATATAATATTCCCTGTTAGTCAGTCGAGATTGACTGTATACGAAAAGAGGTAAATGCAACTAGAAGGAGATAACCTAAAAGCGAAAACGCAGTTTTGAAAGATATTTACAAGAACAGTTATTTGTAAATAAGGCTAAAACATGCATCTAAGTTAGAGGAAAGTAAACGCAATTCTTGGAAAGAGTTTCGCAGTGATATTAAGGTGCAAAATTTTATTCTTTCTGTGTCACAATGTACTTTTCTAAAATTATTGAAATTTCAGGAACAAAACTTTCGTCTGAATAAGTTACTTTATCTTTTGAGGGTACAATAGATGGCATTTTGCAATGGCCATTTCCTCTTTATAGCTTAGTTCACGATGAGGAAATGCATGAAATTTTCCGCTCTGAGATGATTTCTTCTTATGACGTAAATGATATTTTTTTTTATTTTCCATAGCTCAAGTTGACCTATCTTATACAAATTATGTAATGCATATTTAGATCAAAAACACTTTCTAGCGATATGGAAGAAAGCTAGAATTGTGACTGTTCCTAAAAATGCTGAAGTTGAGCGGTCTAGTAATGGAAATGCAATGTGTATTAGCCTTCTGCCATGCTTATGTAAAATTCTCGAAGACTTTTGTATAAAAAGACTGAATTGCTACTTGAGCAGCAGAAATATTTTGGATGAGGATCTATATGGCTTTACTCCTCACCGCTTCTAGACGTTATTTTCGACTTTCCTCGAGTAATCGGTTAATTAAGTTAGCATAATTCCAATAAGTTTAAATGAAACCAAAAATATGCATAATTTAATAGGCCATACAAGGAAGTCATGTGGTGGCTATATAATTTTTTTTTGTTACTGTAATTATTCAAATCTTAACTTTAATAAATCTCCAAAGTTTGAACTTAACACTTTGGAAAGACAAAATTATATTAACAGCCAGTAAAAGCATTCATTAAAAAATCTGATGTGTACACCACATGACTTCCTTGTAGGGAATGTTAAATTATACGCATTTTTTCTTGCATTTCATTTAACTTATTTGATTGAATTAAACCTACTTCGCCGACAGCGCATAAACCACAATAGAATAAATGCATTCTTTAAAATTCACTTTGTTTACCATAGCGACACTCTGGCGCTAGGTTTACTTAACAGTATTATATTTCGTTCATATTATAACTCAGAATGCACAAAATTTATACCATTTAAAGAATTATCTAATCGTTGCCACATGTTCTATTCAATTACTATAACAAAGCTAGAACGATGTATAAAAGAAATTAAGCAAACAAAACGAAAAAGAAACAGTTTTTTCACAGACGATTGAGTATTTCTCATTCAATTAATTCAGTTTTCACTTCGCGACAAGGCAAAAATACATAAAAACTCAAAATATCTGTATTAAAAATTACGAAGTAAATCTTAAATACTTATTTCCTCGAAAAAATTCCAGAAAGGATTAAGCATGATTTAATTCGCAATAATAAAAGAAGGCGTTATTATTGTGTTGCGAAGCTTCGTGTCTCTAGATTGGCAACAAATCTACAATTCTGCTGTTTCAAATGTAAAAAATATGTCTGCCATGTTATTTAAAACTTAACCGCACTTAAACAGCTTTTAAATTGTTGATAATTGTACAAATATTGCTTCCAGAATTACGAAAGGCATAAAAACTTTAACCGGAAGAAAAAAACAACATAATTCAATCATTTTTAAAGCAAAAAATGTACAACTTACAAACATATAAGAGTAAAGAAACTGAGATTACTGAGCCGGGGGACAGAGTGGATATATTTATAAATATATTTATATACGTTTGGCGCGGCCGATTGAAACCAAAATACGAGGTGCACATCTACATGTTATAGTAGTCTTATGTACAAAATTTCAACGTTCTGAGGCTACTCGTTTTTGAGTTATGCGAGATACGTACGTACGCACGCACGTTCGTACATACGTTCGTACAGACGCCACGAAAAATTCTCTTCAGAATTCATTTTAAAGTAGTTTTTTAGTTTTTTTGGAGGAAAAGAGTCTTTTATTCTGTCCTTACGTATAGATATTACGCAAAAACATCGTTAAATTGCATTCAAAAGCAGTCAAAGTGGATAATTTCGTTGAAATATGCTGAATGAAGCTTTTCGCGATTACAATACTTCCTTTTTACTTCGTACAAGGAAGTAAAAAGAATGCGACTTCAAATTCCAATGATGTTTTAATTTGCTGTTCTGATGAGTGACCTGTGCGCCCTACGTTCCCGCATTGTCCCTAGTGCCAGAACCACGCTCGAAGATCTACTGAGCGCACAACAGTGAGCAATATCTCTCATACTCGGAAATTTTGATGAGACAAATAGATTCTTTCTGAGAGCGTTTCTGTTATTCATTTTCTGCCAGTTTAATTGTAATGACAAATCCATTGCTAAATTACACTGCACTGTAATTGAGGATGAAATGCACATAAGTAAAACTGAATATTCCTTTTTGTATAGATGAACCAGATTTTTACCCATGCTTGGATGATAAATTCTTGTTAATGTTCCTTCGGTGCAAAAAGCACGATGTCCAGAGAGCTTTCAAGTCACTGAAGCGTTATTACTGTTTCAAAGAGAAGTATTCTGGAGTTTTTACAGATTTATTGCCTACAGAACTTCGAAACATCATGAAAACAAACTGCTACGTAGACATGCCTCGTAGAGATCATCATGGCAGAAATGTGGTCATTTGGCGTCTGAGTAAGAAATTCTACCTAACAATTAATTACATTAGTTATTCTGCTAGATAAGAATTGTTTGAATAGTTTTGTCATTTTGGAGGTTAAATTTCTGAGGAAAATATTTTTCACATTTACAGGTCAGTGCCTAAGGACAAAGATCCCTATAGAAAAATTATTCGCTGCATGTTTGACTGTGGGTATACTGGCCAATCGAATAGAAGCAACTTCGGTGTGCGGAATTGTGCTAATCTTCGATTTCAAAGATTTCTCTTTGCAGGAAATTTTCAAATTCGCCTCACCAAAATTTGTAATGTTCTTCTTTAACTGCATTCAGGTAAGTGAGAAATAGACTTAAGGACTAAAATGGTAAATATTAGCTAATATGTACTTTCAAAGTAATGGCACAAAAGCGGAGTTAGAATATTCTTTGGTTCTTTGTTTCAATGGCTATTTGTGTTAATCGAATCGTTTCTTGACTACATGCGTGGATACTTACGTATTAGAGCAATAACCTTAGTAGAAGACGTTAGATGTTTAGAATATGAACAATATTTTGCTCGAGCAACATTGCCATTTCTACGTGTTTTCTGTTTGTTGATTCGAAGTTCCAACAGTTTTTATAGATAAATCGTGATATTTATTTTATGCATTAAACTCAGTTTTAAAATATGCACTTATGCATTTTGTCAGCAATCAAAGAAACTTTAAATTTCTTCAGAAATATAATACTTTTTAGCAAAATCTCTAAAGAGAAGAATTGTTTTGAATCGGTTAAAGAAATTGCCATGAAATTTCCATCCGATAATAAATAAATAAACAAATAAAGACAACCTTGTAAGTATTTTTTTATTCATTTTTTGGCTTAAATATCTATTTAGAATGCACAATATATATTCAATAATATAAAAAATATAATCTATATATATTGAATAGATTTTCGCAACTGAATTGAATGACATATGTTACTATTGTTTTTAATGTTTTTGCAAGGTCATAAAATAATTTAACCTCAATATTAGAGATTTAGTAGGTTAATTAGATAATAATTGTCAATGACATAGCATAAGCGGAATCATTTTAAGAACATTTAGCTCCTGGGCGGAGCTTTTGGAGTTGCTGAATAGATGAGCGATGTCTCCGTACCTGAGAAAGTCAAACAATACAGAAACAAGGACGTTTGGGAAGATTTATAATATAAAGATACCTTTATGTAAAATTACTTTTACTTTTCGTTTTTCAGTTTTATTTAGCATTGATCGACTTAAGCGAAAAATTTAGATTAACATACACATGACTCAATGCCAATCCATTCGGTTGGTCTAAAAGCAAATGCATAATTCGCTACAACTAGTACACTTATATCCATCTTAAAGTCATATAGCTTCATTCTACCTAATTTAATTGGAAGAAATGAAAAAAAAAAATTACATTTATGCGTTATTGTTACTAACAATTTAAAATACTAACAATTAAAATTTTAATAAATACCTTACATTTTATTTAATATTTATATTGCTAACAGAGATTCTACCGTGATTTGAAATGAATTGCTTAAATATGTTCCACGAAATCTTAGATATAGTTTTCACATATTCTAATTTTAATCAAAGTATATATATACTCTTCATAGCCTCCATTTACTGTGGTTACTAGGATATGCACATATCGTAGTAATTGCTAAGTCTGGTGGGAGTATCACGATATGGAGCATGTTCTGCTAGCATGGAAGTGGTTCCCTGGTGTTCCTCGAGAGTAAACAAACAGTCATGAGATACCTGGATATACTGGTAGATAAAGTGCACCCTGCAATGTTGCATTTTTACCCTGATGGCGACGGATACTTTATGGATGATAATGTAACTATCCATCGTGTCAGAAGTGTTTGGAATTGGTTCACTGAACATCAGTTTGACTTTCAACACCTTCCCTCTCAACCACATAGCCCGGATTTTAACCCCATAGAAAAATGAAGGTGGAAAGACGCATCCGACAGCCCTCTCCTCCTTCATCTAATTTACACGATCTAAAAAGTTGCATAGCCAATGCATGGTATTCTCTAGACGTAAATGCACACCAGAAGCATGTAGACTCGATGCCCAAATGAATTAGAGCAGTTATCTGTGCAAGAGGTGGTCCAATAAAATATTGATCTTGGTTTGCTCCGGGCGCCACCTGCGAGATTCATCTGCGGGCTCATTCGAACCCCGCCTCTTTATTGAACTCTTCGTTTCATACTACTGTTACTCTTACTGTAGCAACAATGGAAGCTTCCTTCAGGGTTAACTTCAGGGTCCTACTTCTTCATCAGCCCTTGTCGAAATATTCTTTATCGTTAATATGGGGGTAATGTATGGGATATGACCAAGTGGAGGATAATGCAGTATAACATTTCGCCAGCAAGTCATGATGAAATTTGAATGCGTGGAAATGCAGCTGGGGAGTTGATAGTTCTATGGGACATTAATAAAAATTTGAATAATCTAGTCCTCAGGCGAGCACTGCACAGAAAGAAGTGAGAGACAGAGATAGGCACACTAGTACTAACTGCATAATCATATACGTATAACATGTATTATTTTGATGTTAATCTGTTGTTGTGTATGGGTTTTTTACCAGTTTTGCGAAACAAAAGCTTGAGCTACATTTCTTCTAAATGTTTTGTTTTTAAGACCAGTAGCGTAATTTTAACACGCATGTCTCTTTCTGATAATTTATTAAATACGGAAAATAATCTTATCATGATCAGTGTAATTATATTTTTCTATACTAATCCGAAAGTCAAAGTTTTCCAATGTAATCTAAACGAGATGCCTCCTAAACCTTCTATTTTAAATGAACTTAATTATCAGCTAACGCCAAAATTTTGTACATAAAAATCGAAGAATGTAAAAAATTAATCAGGGAAGAATTTCATTATCAAAGAATGTGTAAAAACGTCGTTTTGTATATGGTAGAAAATTTAAGGTATGTGAAACTATTAACTGCTCATATTCAATGAATACTCAAATAACTTGAGATGAAATGATACATTTGAAACAAAGTGGAGAAATAATCAACTAAAGTTTTCCTTCATGGTAAGATTATTATTGAAAGTTGGTAAAAATACTTGAATCTTACTTCAAGTTTCTTACTTTTTTGTTTTAGGAGTGTTTGCCTTTCCGAATAAGAGAAGTGCACATAGTAAACGAACCAGAACTTTTCAACGTTTTTTACAATATTATAAAATTTGCTATGCCAAAGAAGCTAATGGAAAGAGTGAGTATTTGCTTAAACAGATTACATTTTTATTTTTATGTATAGCTAGCGCTAGTTATAATGAATGTTTCTTACACACTAATGTTTGTGAAAATTGCAACACCATGAAGGAATCATGCAAACTGAACCAAATTTACACGCAATGTAAAGTGAGGTAAAACATGCAAATGATTAGGTTTACAAAGTGATTGCGCATCTGCGGAATGAGAGCCGGCCCCTTGTTCGATGAAGTATATAAAGGACTGTAAAGTTGCGTTGAAATCTATTTATTGTCCTCTGTTTGTGAAGAAATTTTAATCAGTGGTCAGTATGCCTCCTTAACGGTGGAGGGTGCCACACCAACAACTAGCAGATTCCAAACGAGCAATTCCTGAGCAATTGCAGGCCGCAAACAAAGTAATGACACAACAGTGATACGTGTTTGGAAGAAATTGACAAAAGAGAACCAAACAAAGCAAAATCCTGGAGGGGGAAACACGCAATTGCACAACAACACGGGATAACAGGCTCATCCGCATGGCTGTGACGGATCGTGCATGGAAGTATCGTACATGGATGATGGAAGAGTACGCACCAAACTTTACAGAGGGGAATATCTGGTCCCACAGTGCTTTATCAAGCGTCATACCACACAAAAGCTGCTGTCGTGGTGTGGGGAACTATTGGTATACTTGTCGATCCTATCTAATGCAGACTGCGGGCAACCTCTATAGTGATGGCTATATAAGGGAAGTTGTGGAGCCAGAAGTCCTCCACATTCTTCGACGCATTCCCAGAGCTGTATTTCAGCAGGATAATGATCGTGCACATGTTTCTCAGACTGCACAAGCCTTCTTTAAGGCAAAAAAGGTTTCGCTTCTTCCATAGTCTGCTTATATCCCTGATATGTCTTCCATTGAGCCTGTCTGGGATTTCATCGGTCGGCTACTCAGTCTTGTAGTAGGTCTCTCAGTCTACTATAAGCCTCTCAGTCTCCACTCAGTCCTGTGTAGGTGATCCGGCACACACTAAAATTGAACTTCAGTATCAAGTCGAAGCCATATGGAATGCCATCCCCCAGGATTACGCTCAGAACCTCCGCCAACCGGTATAGTGGATAACGTCACTGACTGCAGTGCCGAAGGGCCGCGGCTCGAATTCCAGAGAAGGCATGGATGTTTGTAAATGTATAGTGTCGGTGCGATATGACGGCACTCTAAATATAAGGCGAACCAAAAGTCCTGTCTTGTGGTTTGGTGTAAGGGAAGAGAGGTGCAAGACCCTCGGACCCGTTCCTCCCGGGGTGCTGATCATCAAAATTGGGGGGTGGAACTGAGCTAAATTGCACTGTCACTTGTAAGGTGCTCAAGTCTGTTGCCAACGACAGGCATAAGCTTGCGCTCCTTGCCAAGAAGAATTTTGTAGGCTTGGGCTTATGTTACTCTCAGACAAGTGAGCTTAAGTGGCAACAACACATTCAGAACTTGTATGATTCAATCGCAAGAGGTGTACTGGCTGTCATCGCTCAGCGTCACACAAAGTACTGATTGCCGAAGTTCTTTTTTTTTTTTTTTTTTTTGGTATGTGTGCGTGTCTTGAAAATTTGATCGTTTATTTGTACCACTCTCAATAATATGTGGAATGAATTTCATTCATTTCCGACAAATTCTTCATGGTGTTGCATTTTTCAGAAACATTTGTGTAAGTACCTTCCCATAAATACCTTCATCAAACTTCGCAACTGATTAAGAATATGAAAAATCCACTTCATTACAGGCCCGAGCGGTAAAATCCCTGAACGCTGGTAGTTCGATCCGAGGTCTGAATCCCGCGAACGGGCTGGCTGCATGGGCATTTTCGTGGTTCTCCCCATGCGTAACGTGTTAATACGAGCCAGTTCCCTTAGAAAGTCCTCCACGAAGACATCACTTTGCTCCATGCAGTGCCTTTGGGCGGAACACGTCAATAATAATAATAATTGCAGGGGTTTTCGTTAGGACATCCTTTTTTCTTTAATACAGGGTCACTGCACCAAGAATTAACTGTATATACATATGTTTTCAATATTAATGCTATTCAAAACCTGAACATACTGCCTCTGTGCACTAGTATCAATAATGCACACTCTGCACACGAAAAAGGGACAGTATGGACAGTAAGGACAGGTAAAAAAATATGTATTCGATTTGTGTATAGAATTGTTCTAAAATAGGTATTTTTAAACAAAATCGGATTTTTTTCTGAAATGGTATACCTATTTCTTTCACATTTCAATTCTGTGACTCAAAGTATGCTTACATATGAAATTTTGTAAAATTTGGTGCAAAACATACCGAGAAATTCAAAAATTTATCTTCGCGCACTTTTTTTCAGTTTACGCAGACTAATTCATTTGGCGAAATTCTTAATTTATGGTAACCTATTTTCCTTTCCCTTTCATTGTGCACGTTCGGAAGAAAATGTGCATTGTCCATTCTTTCAAATAATGCTAGCAAAGTGTGTAAAGCACATTTGTTGTTATTATTGCTTAAAACAAAAATGCTCAGTTTCAAAACGCGCCAATATCGGAATTCACGTACGGCTTAGGAAATTTTGAATAAAATGCTGTAACGTTTTGAAAGTGTGCTTATAAATAAATCTGCTTTAAGATAATTGTAAAAATTTTATAAAGTTATAATTCAAAATGTTTTTCAAAAAATGTATAGAAATTATAAAAAAAATTATAAAAAAAAAAAAAATGCAAGTTTAACACCTAATCAGAAAATAGCAGAGAGTTTTAGCTACATTTGCAACTGTGAAAGAAGGAATCATTTAAATTCAACAAAAGAATTATATATTAATAAATATATACCAAATTCAATTAACACTGAAGAGCTAAATATTTAAAAGCTAATATTTTAAAAACCACTCGTGTAATTTTTACGAAACGTGGGCATAATTTGAGTCTTAAAATAGAAATATTGAAAAATATAGGTATGTTATATAAGAAAATGTTAAGATTTTTGTGTCAGAATACCCATGTTAGAACACTGCGATTTATAAATCCCCAGACCTGAATCCGATAGAGCATCTTTGGAACTAACTTGGGAGACAAGTTGCTGCTTTAAGTTCTCTTCCAAGTTCATTAGATAGGCTTGAACAAGGATTAATCAGTTTCTGGTCGTTGCTTCCCATTTCACTGATCCAAAAACTTAATTCACAGCATGGAACGTCGCTGCCGCCTGATTATTGCAGCTAGACGCGGACACATTCCTTATTAGAACCCATTTTTGTAATATTACCATCCCACTTTTCTCAAAAAACTCTCATATGCTGTTTCTCCAAGACTGAATTTCTCTGTCAAGAGGACAGTTTTTTTGTTGTAATTCATGCTTGTGTTGAACATTAGAAACATTCTATGACGCATTCCTTAAAGAAGTGTTTAGTGAACATGTCCTCTAAATTTCTGGTTTCTATCTCAAATTAGACACAAAATATATGCTGTTCCTTAACTTTTGGAGAGCCGTGTATACGCATAAACAGTAAAGTGTTTTCTGTAAATAAAAGGAATATTATTGAAACTTGTGACGAAATTAACGATACGAATGCGAAGTTCGAAAGGCGAGTATAACACTTGACGATTCTTGTTCGAACGCTATTTTTTGTTTCGACGAGTTTGCATCAGTCTAATTTTGATCTTGATTTGGTATACAAAAATACATGACGATATCTTTCGTTTATATATTTAATGAAAACACCAAAATATATCACAGTAATACAAAGACATCGCAACGGCGAACCTACAGTTACATAATGTAAACACACAGAAAAATTCTTTCAGCGCAACAACGCCCTCTATACTATGAAAAGTTCTAACAACTGGTAAGTCCTTTGTAATACATAATATAGTAATATTAATGAAAAGAAGGTTGTAATATCAAAGTAAATACCATAAATCAGATTACAATAATAATAGCAAACAAATAACATGCAAAGTTCAAAAAACGAATTTAATTTGAAATGTTTTTAACTCATGGAAAGGAAGATAATATTTCCAACTTATTTTAGTTTTATTAAATTTGCTTAGTCTTTACCTTTGTCATTTTTTCCTACAGTTTTCATTCAGCTTTCTAAAACCAAATTGCCTTTCAGAAATAATATTATTCTTATTTAAAATATATTGCAGTCTATTAACTAAAAGTTTTTCATAAATCTTTTCAAATGTTTTTAGTAGGCAAATTGGACAAAATCCTTCTTTATCTCTTGGAATCAAAATTCATTTTCCAATTTTCCATACATCTGGAAATATCCCCAATTTCAAGCATCTATTGTATAACACTATGGAAAAACACAATCCTCAAACAATTTCTTCAACAATGTGGCCCAATTCCATTCAACTCAGCAGTAGACCTTATCCGTAGACTTTTCATCGCAACCAGAATTTCATAATAAACAAAGACTTTCTCCTCTTCATCCTCCTCCATTATAAATTCTTCTTCATTTATATCCTTATTATAATCCTTGAGCTATAAAGTATCTTCGATAATTTGTTTGTAATTGTTCTCAATAAACGCCGTCGGGACTTCGCTATTTCTCTTAATAATCATTTTCTTTTTCATTTTAGCGTTGGAAACTCTAAAGAATCCATCATAATAATTCACATCTCTCATAAACAGATAATTTTTATACTCTTTCCTCGTACACTTGATAAGTTTTTTATATTAGTATATGGGATTAAAATTTCATGGAGAAAAATTCTTTTGCATACTTTCCGTTTTCTTGTTCAAATAATAATTGCAAAATCTTGGTGTTGACAAATTATTGTTTATCATATTTTAAATCAAGCGCCTTATAGAGTATTTAGATAATATTCGAAACAAAGATTCCGACGAAATCCTCAGTGCCTTCGAATTCAGAACCTTTCGATCGTCAGACGTACTAGACGTAGTAAGGTGGGAGGAAGTACCATACAAGAGCTATGCATCGTATTTCCCAGGATGGCACCGAGTAACATGTCCAAAGTTCTTCATAATCTGTGCATTTAATGGAATCGTATCGATTCATCTTTCGCCAGGAATGTTTAAAGTGTATAGTAATAATTTTGGATAACTCACATCTTGGTTTGAATATATAAATGATAAAGCTGTCTGAAACACTTTTGAAATGTGTATGTGGGCTTTAAGTGTGTTTTCAGGGGTCTTGAAATTTTAGTTAGATGATTTTAGGCTACTAATCACTTATAATATAATTTTCTGTGCAAATTAGTTTAATAATAGCTGTGCTTGGAACAAACAGTTACAACCAATCCGTGCTCGAATGTTTCAAACTTAAACTTTTTGTTACTAAAAATTATGGAAATTTTCTAGAGAATTTTTGTTATTTCTTATTTTTTAAAACCTCTTTGAGGTATTTTTCACAATGAAAAGGTGGAACGATACATACATTAAGATTTAAATCAACGTTTTCTTGTATTTTCAGGTGTTCATGCATGGAAAGAATTTGAAAGACCTTCAGAAATATCTTCCTCCAGAAATCCTTCCAGAAGAATTGGAGGGAACAGCAGGGCCTCTAGACAGTACAGAATTTTACAACAACGCTCTCAGTCAAGAATGTTTCTTTAAAGAAATGGTTAAGTGTGGATTTCGAAGAAAATCTGCAGAAAATCTGCAGGAACGCCTGGAAGATAAATTTTCAAATATCATTATTTAATTAAACAATCAAGAAATTTATAACGCATTGTATAAATAAATTATCATTTTATCGAACGAGATTTAACACAATCTTAATGAATTCCAAATGCAAGTTTAATATCATGTTCTGATGCTTTGAGACTGTCTGTAAGAAAACGTTTCGAATATTTTGCAAGAAATTATTCCCAATGAAGGTAATAGGTATGCATAATTAAAAACTTAGTTACTCCAAAAATGGTCTAAAGTACTGTATTGACCTCAAGTTTTAAGAAGTATTTCATTTGTGTTTTATGAAAAAAGCCATTTTTTTTCCAACATTAAAGGTACAGTTAATTAAGTCAAGGGTTTAGATCCTAAGCCATTTCCAAAATCCCTTCATGTAAGTAGTTATAACAAGACCATAAAGCATACATATATATCTAGTTAAAAACAAAGTTTTAATAACTGCGATAATAATATATCCTGAATTACTAACTATAATAATATATCCTGAATTACTAACTTGACCATTCATGGTTCTCATACAACATAAGTTTTAAGACAGCCTTACTTTTTAAGGTGAATGAACTTTATTCTCTTCCTGTAGCTTATGCTGCACAAAAACAAGAAAGGAATAATTTTGACTATTACTAGTACGAATATGAAAATCTATATTGTGATTTAAACACTACGGGTTTATAAATAATACTAAGATTAGGTGTTATCAAATTTTTTTTTTTTCAGTTTATGCTTAAAACGGATAACCACAAATATTGCCTCTGGGTGAAGGCACTCTGCCTTGTGAAAGAGATATGGTACGGGAAGCATTAATTAGATGCGAGAAAGATTTATTTATCTGGACTTCATATAAAACTGAGTTTTATTAAACTGCTTTTTAATTTATATTTATATGAAGAAGAGGCTTATTAGAAATAACATTCTAAACAATTCACCTAAATTCTTGGGATCATTTGAAATCGGTGAGCTTTGGTGAAAAATATATATGGAGTCATAGTATTTGAGTTCAGAAATGTGAAATCCAAATAAACACTTTTCAAAATTCTATGTTCCAGACAACTAGTGGTATAATTTCCTTTTCAGTGTTTTAATTAGTTTTACGGGATTTTTCGTAAACTGAAGTTTATTGCAAATAGTCTCCAAGAAAACCATTGGCAACAATTCTGAAAAAATTCCATACTTGTATAAGGTACTGCCCGTGGAAATCGCGGGATGCGCAGCGATAGGGTTAATAAGAACGCTACTGTGTTATATAAGAAGCTTAATTTAGGCTATCGAGCAGAAACTCGGGAAGGAGTTGCACTAGTTTTTGATAAAAACCGCAGTCTGATATCTTCATAAATAATATTTACTAAATATTGATATGTCATATGATTTTGTAGAGTTACTTATGAAAATCTTTTTTCCCCCGTGCAAAGATAGAGTCAAATATTTGACAATGAATATTGCATTGTTTTTAGAAGAAACAATATTGTTTATTGTTTATCTTAAATGTTGCTCTAAAAGTATCGAAATTTTTTAGGAATTTATTACCAATTGCAGTTTTGCAGATTATGCTTCAAGCAGAGGAAAATGAACTCCTGTCCCTGATTTTCTTTGAAGGAAAATTACTTTATGGCGGAACACAAAATTGAAAAAAAAAAGGTTCCTTTTCTTTGTTGCCTGTCTAACATTGTACAAACAATTCTGAAATTTAAATCACATTTACTCAAATATTATTGAACAATATAAAAGTGAATTTCCTCTGAAATATAACAATCGATAATATCTGTTTTGCCATTCAAGGAAAGATAGCGTTTACTAACAATCGTGAAGTTTGTTCTAGAGGTACTTAGAATTTCCTTCTAACCCTGAAAATTCGCATCTATCAGTAATTTGATATTTGAAAGAAAATAGAAAATCTACATATAATTGGTTACTGTGTTAGCTACGTTGTTATTTCCTTAATAATAAATTTAATTCAAAAAATAAATTAGAAAGCTAAAATTACGAAGATATATTCTAACGCAAGGAGATACTGAAGTTTTATGACAATTCAAATAGCATTATTCATGACTTAATTCCTTCACATTTCTGAAAAGCATTAACTTTACGGAAAATATATTACTGAATTTCGAAACAAAGTCACCATGTATCTTATATAAAGGAATTACAGTTATAAAACTTTGATATAAAGTAATTACAGCTGCGATTGAAAAATGTTTTTTTGTTTTTACCTGAATGAATTTTTCTACATATTGCTTCTAACAATGTAGTCTACGTGCAGTATAAGGACTTACGAATTTGTTAAACTGATATTACTGTTTTTTATTTTCCTTTCTGCAAATGTTCCGTAAGGCTATATTAGGAATTTGCAAGGCACAACACGAACGTGAATGTACTTCTAAAAAATGTGTATATGCATTGTACTGCATCTATGTGTATATGCATTGTACTGCACACTGTGCCAAAAAAAAAAGGGGGGGACAGTGCTATATCTCCCGTTCTACTGGGCCGATTGACAAAATTCAAACTGCGTTTTTCATGTCTCGAAAGCGCGATTTAGGATATATATTAGATTTATATATAGTACTATTCTAACATAGGTATTTTGACACAAAATAGGACTTTTCTGAAATAACATATCAGTTTTTTTCCATATTTCGATTCTACGACTCAAATTATGCCAGAATAGCAAGTTTTGTAAAAATCGTACGAGTAGTTATTAAAATGTTAGCTCTCAAAATTTTAGCTCCTCAATGTTAATTGAATTTGGTAAATACTTATTAATATCTTTTTTTATTAAACTTTTATTATCTTTCTTTTCACATTTCGAAATTTAGCTTTATTCCAAATAAAATTTACCCATTTTTTGTGTTTTATTTTTTAAATTATATTTTTAAATAAATTTTATAAATTTTTCGAAAAGCATTTTGAATTATAACCTATAAAATTTTTACCATCATCTTAAAGTAGTGTATTTTTAAGCATATCTGCAAAAAATTAGACTTTTTTATTCAAAATTTTCTAAGATATACACGAATTTACATATTTTCGCGTTTTGAAATTTGGCATCTTTTTTTGGGAGGGGCGATATTAACGCCAAATGTGGTTTATAGATTTTTGTTATAGTGAATTGCCACAGCTATTTTTAACCTTAAATTTCAAGTAAAATTTTACGGAGAATTAATTATATGAAATTTTTCCTTTCAAGGATGCGTGATAAATATTTATTAATACTATATGAAAAGCTATTTTTTTAAATTACAGATCATATTATTCACATTTTTAACTATTTTTTTTAAATTTCTCTCTTTCTTCCTTTTTTTAAAAAAAAATAAGAGTAAATTTTTGCCTTCGGCGTTTTATCATCTTCTACTTTACTTCGTCTAAATCGAATTGTCTAAAACTGAGAATTTTCGTTTGATATTTACAGTGTCTCACAAAAGTGATGGGACACTTGTGCTTTACAAAAAGAAACTGTAATAAAATAAATTAAAAAACATGTAACAATTTTTTGTGGGTGTGTTTCATACTTAAATTTAGTAGCAATTATTACATAACATACATTTTCTCAAAATATTAAAACTAAATTTCTCAAAATTATTTAGTAATTTCATAAAAATACAATTGTTTGGAAAGGAGCAAAAAATGGCTCACATAAGTGATGGGACACCATTAGATACTATTACGTACTACAATAAAAATATTTTTTGGGGTTTTTATTTTTACTCAAAAGCAATTGGGAATAATTTATAAAATCGTCTACAGTCTTTCTCTCCAGTTTGTTTTGGAATTTTTGTGTTTTTTAGCTCTGTGCAGCCATGAATGCTAAACGAAAAGAAACTTTGCCTGAAATTCGAAAATTAGTTATTAATTTGCATATTGAACGTGGAAAATCTATTAGAGAAACTGCTGAAACAGTTAACATGAGTCATTCAACAGTTTTCAGTATCATTAAACGATATAAAAAGAATCATATGATTCAGGATAAAAGAAGACCTGGCCGACCATCAAAGCTATTCAAGGGAATAAAGCGAATTGTCGTTCGAAATATTAAAAAAAATCCAAGAATGAGTGTTCCTAAAGTTGCTGCTGATTTACAAGCATTATATGGAGTAATTGTAAATCCTGAGACTATTAGAAGAGTAATTCGATCTGCTGGATATCACGATAGAGCAGCCAGGAAAAAATTCTTCGTAAGTGAAAAGAATAGAAACTCAGACTGGCTTTCGCAAAATCCAACATAAATAAGAACTCTGATTACTGGAATGAGATTATATTTGCTGATGAGAGTAAATTTAATATATTTGGTTCTGACGGTAGAATCTTGGTGTAGAGAAAACCCAGGAAAGAATTTCGCAAACAGAACTTGGTGCCAACAGTAAAACATGGTGGAGGAGGAGTTATGGTATGGGGGTGTATGTCGTCCGCTGGAGTTGGTAATCTTGTTTTTATTGACAGTATAATGGATCAGTACAAGTATATTGACATTTTAAATCAAAATTTGAAATCTTCAGCACGAAAATTGATCCTTCATAACGATTTCAAGCACACTGCTTTGAACGTTAGACTCTGGCTGCTGTATAACTGTCCTGAAATAATAAAAACACCACTGCAATCTCCAGACTTAAATCCCATAGAGAATATTTGGAAAGAATTGGAATCAAGAATTCGCAAACACACCATTTCTTCAAAACAACAATTAAAATCATTGCTTCAAGAAGAATGGGGTAAAATCACTCCAGAAATCACAAAAAATTAGTCAAATCCATCCCAAAGAGATTAAATCACGTTTTAAAAGTAAAAGGAAATCCAACAAAATATTAAAACATTTTAAGAAGTAAAATTTTTGGATAAATATTTGATGGAAAAGTAAGTGTCCCATCACTTATGTGAGCCATTTTTTGCTCCGTTCTAAACAATTGTATTTTTATTAAATTACTATTTTAATATTTTGAGAAAATGTATGTTATATAATAATTGTTACTAAATTTAAGTATGAAACACACCCACAAAAAATGTTTACATGTTTTTTTAATTTATTTTACTACAGTTTCCTTTCGTAAAGCACAAGTGTCCCATCACTTTTGTGAGACACTGTATTTGAATTTTATGAAAATATTTTATGACATTAACTGCATATTTTATTTTTAAACAAATTGTTGCTTATGAAGTGGCTGAAAGAGCGGCTGATACTATCATCCATATTTTTAAAGCCACAGTATATTTTTATAGAAGCATAAGATTT